CCATGCTTTTTGTGAGATTACATACAATATCCGTGCAATACGTGCCTTCATTATGTACTGCAATTTTTCTTTATTGCTTCATATTTTAAAAAGAATTCGAAATTTGAAATTACTTTAACACAAGAACACTATTTTCATTGTACCAACATGTTTCCTTATATTTAATTTTTTGGAGTTTACTCCTTAAGAAACGATTTGAGTTATAAGGCCCGGTACGGAAATTTTATGAGGAGTAAAATTAAGTGTAACACGAAAAGTTGAGGCGTTATGTGTAACACGAAAAGTTGAGGCGTTATGTGTAACACGAAAAGTTGAGGCGTTATGTAGAAAGAGACAAACATATATATCTGTAGGATTGAACGTGTAAAAGAATGAGATGGAATACATTACACAGACTTTTCTATTTTGAATTCACCTTTTGACAGCCACGTTACAACATTGTCAGTGTTGACAGGTGTAAAAAATAAAAGTAGATTGTCTAGCGTGCCATAGAGTTTTGTCAATAGTAATGGTCAGTGAAATTAAAACTAAAAAGATTGTTCATTCTTATTCTTCTCTTACTATAAAGGTAACTTTGGTCACAGAAAGAAAATCCTATTTGGACATAGATGATGTAGGTACGTTTTATTACTACTACAAACATTTATATTATAAAAACATATATTCTTACCACCTTTAGTATGAAAATATGGTCGACAGCCACAGAACATTATCGCCATTTTATCGTTCGTAAGGAGTAAACTCCAATCGTGCGTCGTAGCTGACACACACACACTTTTTTTTATATATTAATTTAGTTTTTATATACTTTGGTATAATGCGGTAATGAAACCAGCATCAGTCCAAACAGCTCTTCAGCCCTCCCTGCAAAGAGAGGGATAATAAAGCCAATCAGTAATACGTTGGAAACTCACAATCTGACAAGCGCTTCGCTTGGTCAAAAGAAGCTGAAGATGTATTTAGGACTGCGGTCGCTAGCTTTCCTTTAGGTTACGAGTGTTTTAAACATCTATTTCATCACTTAGTATTGTAAAGAAGAAACAATAACCAAACTTCTTAAACTTATAACCAATATATATCTAAATAGTAGGGAATTAAGCACACAAACACTTCATAGGGATTTGTTATGTGTCCCTAATCTTGAATCGGATACTTACTGCATTTTATATTGATGCTGAACGACCATAATTTCTTCTTACAATAATTGCTTGGAAGGGATTGCTTGAAATCGAAAGCCGCCCGTGGCTCGCTTGGTTATTGAAATGTTGTACAAGTTTTGTAATGCACCAAAGTAAATAATAAATTTGTTTAATCATTACTTAATATCGTATAACTATTAAAATTAGACTCGTTGCTAAATGTAAAAGCTCATTTAATAAAAGTCTCGTAGCAATTGCTACAGTAGCAAAACATCAACGCGCACGCGGCGATAATTGAATTGTAGCTAAATTAAAAAACCAAAGCAATAGGCCCGATAATTTGAAGTATTAATGTTACATTACAAGAATCGCTTAGTTACAGTATAGAAACATCAACATTAACTAGTACATCAATTAATCTAGTTTTATAGGCCAGCAACGCACTCGCGAGCCTTCGGGCATTGAGAGTGTCTATGGCTGGCGGTAACACATCACATCTGGTGAGCATAGTGCTCGTTTGCCTCATTTTTTCTATATAAAAAAAGATTTAACACAAAAATATGTGTTTTCAGTTGTCAGCCTAGCCATTTTTCTAGGTGGTTAGGATTGATGTATGTAATGGCGCGTCTAAACGGGCCATGTTTTGCTGCAATTGATGGCTGCACTGTTGGCCACTAATTGTCCGGCCATTACAAAAATATTTTAATGCAGCTGATGGCCGAACAATCTATGGCTGGGCAATGTGTTGCAATAGTATGGCCCATGATGCAGACTCCTAAACGGGCTACACAAACCGGCAACAATGGCTGACGAAATCACACTTGTCGCAGCAGCTTATATTGTTTTAAAAAAGAAACAGAAAAAGAAGAGATTGTGGATTCGACCTTACTTAAATAGGCGTGAAACTGTAGACAATTTGAGTCTAGAAATAAGTCTTGATAATAAATTATTCAAGAACTAGAATGTCAAAAGTAGTCATTTTTACGTAGTAATCTAACGTCAAATACAGCTGATCGCAAAACACAGAATAAAGCAACAGGCACACTTCACTCATAGCAAACGTCATGTCGCGTAGAAAAGGATACACTATGCCATAACAAAGAGAGTGACTGAAACAACAAGAGAACTGGCCGTGCAATATTGAGTTGAATTCGATAGCCTAGCGATCGTCCGGCCACCTATGGGGCAAATCGGCATATGTGGCTATACAAAACATGTGGTATATGGCGGGACATTACTGCAATATTGATAGTGTGACTGCTATTGTTTGCAATGTTGCGGCAAGTGTTGCAGCTATCAATTGCAGCAAAACATGGCCGTTAGAGGATAATAGAAATACAAAAAATAAAATAGTAAATTTGTATCACATTTCGATTTGACGCTGTCATTCGTTGTACCCGTGCAAAATTTGTGCCTTAATTTTTATTACGTTATTTTTTAAATTTCTGCTCCTTAAGTTTTGACTTTGAACACGTTGAATCCTACATTTTAATCTATTCCTGCTCCCAGACATATGTGCTGAATTTGGTATGTAATGTATGTTTACCGAAATTTTAGTCTTTTAGTAGTTTTGTTTAAGGTGTATTTCGACTTAGGGATTTGACTTCGACTTATTATAGTGAAAGTCTAATAGTGAAAGAACTTATCAAATAGTCGTTTTTGGAGCCTACAAATGCATTGCTCAATGCAAACAAACAATGCAGTTGTAGATGTCACGTTAGTTATACAAGCAACATTTAAAACCAGTAATACATTCCGTTCATAGCAATATTTTCTTCCTCAAAGGCTTCCGACGTACGGTCATTAGTATAGACAACGAAGACTTTACATACCCTTTGTTAGGAAAGATTTAAAATATTTACATACAAGATTCATATATCTGATATTATTTACTTAGCAATATAAAATTCCTATGAAGATAAGACTTGAACACATGATCGCGTGATTTATAATTCCATATTTTAATAACCTTCAGTATATAGACAATATTTAAAGAATTTTTAAAGGTATTAAAATTCTGTTTTTAAATTATATACTTAAATTAATCCTATAGTCTACCATATAATATAAAATGTGAGTGCGAGTGACTGCCTCTGTTTAATGATCAAGCGGTTAATTTATATAATGCATTTTCATTCGAAGATTATGAGTTCGATTCCGACTACACAATTTACGCAAGGTTAGTTAATAAATAATGAGCCCAGTGTGCTGTTCTTTTAAATGTGATACACTTTCCTAATGAAATATCATTCAACAAATTTGAAACCATTATGATTATTTGTAGTTCTAGTATAAATATATTTTACATTGTGTGGTTTGTCCACGATATAGAAACGTTATTTCAATTAATCATTATTATAAATACTGTGGCGCTACAACCTTTAAGGCTGCCTCTAATAGGCCTACTTGGTCAACATTTTGTTGTCACACGAACACACACGTCACTTTTTGGGTCTGAGGTATGCTGGTTCCCCCGCGATGTTTTCCTTCACCGTACGAGGGAGTAGTAAATTTTCATACGTACGGAAATCCATTGGAGCACAGCCGGGTTCGAACCGACCTCAAGTATGAGAATCGCAGGCAAGACTTATGAAACTGGTAATTATATATTTTAACATAACAGTATTTTATATTTAAAGATAAAAAATAAAAATAAATTACTATAACAATAATTATTTCAGAATGTAATTGAATAAATTGTAAACTACAAAGATCGGTAACAAGCATATAAAACCTTCGTACTTTTTGAAGTCAGAATTTATAGATTGTCTTGGGTGTAAGTTGTCTATGGTTGCATCTTATTCATGCATACCCACGTCCACAGATGTAATCTGTGTGCTTTACGAGCCGCACCGCTTTGTGCCTACTCTATTATAAATATCAATGCTCATTGCTCACGTACTTTAACGTTATTGTTATCTTAGACCACTAAAATAGTTGATTTTTTTCCTAGTTGACTTTTCTTTTGCAATTAGTTGCCGATCTAAAGTAAAAATTATACATGAATATCATTGTCAACTCATTTGGTCTATAAGCGATGTATTTTAAATTCGTGTTAAATTGAGCATCAATAAAACTGTCACGTAGAACCTAAGCATTTATTTAAAGAAGACTAAAACTATGCAAACATTATGTAGAAATATACAGGTTTATGATTACTATAAACACATATTTGGTATTCTATTCGCATTTTGTTATCACTCAATAGATTTGCACACGTAGAGTTTTGTTTTAACATAAACATCAGGTCATCAAAACCAACTCACTATTACATAAGACATTTCAAGAGCTGAATTAAGTTATTTGATAGCCAAGAGCAATAAAGATTTATCTCCTTGTGCATTGCAGTACCTGCTTTGCATACGTCTGGCACGGGCCAGCACAAAACAACATAAACACAAATTAAACGAAAGAAACCGAACAAAAAACGTGCTACCTGCGCTTGCGATGCCGCAAGTTTTTATCACGACAACACCACTTTGCAAGCACCTAACAGAATTATAATAGAACGAGACAGCTAGAAATGTGATATGAGAAGAAAAGAAACGGAAACGTTTTCAAAATAAGGGCTATGTCAAAAGTGGTAGCCGAAACAAGTTATTTAAATTCATCGGTCACCCGAAGGACGCTACGCCCACGCGTCAACTCCAGGACTTCTCCAATCGGCGACATTAATCCTTTTAAGGTATAACGACGAACTTTAACAGCCACTGATTAATTATACTTTTATTATTGATAGCAACCGGCTGCGTTGTATTTGTACCTCCAATTAAACAAGTCGATTATATTATTGTTATGTGCAACAGCAAATAAATACTGATTAAACTTGTTGATAGAGAGGTATTGTATTAATATTATCTT